ATCTAATTTTCTCAAGGAACATAACAGTATCTTTTGGAGCTAGATAGAAAAGACATTTTTTATTGCAATTTAAGTGATGAAAAAACTGGTACCAAAGATACACAGCTAATTAATGGCAGAGTTAAGAACAATACCTATGAATCCTGTCATAGTCCCAGGCTCCTGCTGCTCCCCATGGGGCCTCCTATGTAAGTGGTGTTGTTCTTACAAGAAGAAATTGTGCATTAATCCAGCATCAATGGAACATGGGTTTGTAACTGGACATTCTCAGGAAAGAGACAGACTGAAGCTAATCCTGTGTCTGTGTCGTAGCTGTGCAGTGCATCAGGGGCATTGTCTTACATGTTCAAGGAAAACAAGGATGAGTGGACCTCATCCCTGTGACAGGCTAACCAGCAGAGTTAGACAGGCACCATTAAGATTCAGAATTTTCTTCCAGTAACCAAATGACACCTGAAGGCTTGGCTTGGAGCATGTTGCTGTGGGAACCAGAGCCATAGGCTCAATGCCACCATAAACTAGTGAGTAATATTCCAGTCTATGACCACTGACTATATCCTAGTATACAGAATGATGTATACAGTAAGTGCTCAGTAAATGTGCATTGGGTTGAACTGAATATTATTATTCAGCAGTGACAATCAGCAAAAAGAAGGTGACAGCAAGTATAATTATCACCAGCACTACACCCAGTAGAGAAAACACAGTCCAGTGGGAACTAGCTTTCTGTTTTATTCTAGAAGACTAAACTGTAATCCCCCAAACACAAACACACGCCAGACTGTTAGCTCTGCAGATGAGGGAACCATATCTTATTTATCTCTGTGTCCCCAGAATACCTAGCACAGAGCCAGACACATTTGAAGTGTCAATGTTTTTTGAATTGAATTATATTTGCTCGGCTGGCGTGGGAGTTAAAAAGATGTTGACTAGTAATTCACCATTCCCTTCCCTGGAAGCTCTGTAAATCAAGCTCTTAAAAAAAGCACAAGCTAAATTCCAAAACCCTCTCGTAGGAGAAATGCCCACGGCTGGTGGGGTCTGGACTATGTCCACCAAATGTGCAGATCTCTTCTGCACAAACATCACTTACTCCCAAGGGAGCCCCTGACTGGCTGACTGGCTGACTGGCTGTGGAGACTCACACATTCCCTCTTTCCCAATGGCAGGCAGGTCAGGGGAAAGGGGTGGGAGTTGGTGATGAAGCACTGCTGAACTAAATGTTCTCCTCTTCCCAGGAGAGGGAAAATCTCCAACAGTAGGAGTGTTGGCACTTTTCTAGAGGAACAACCATAAAGAACATGGGATGTAGCTGGAAATGATCTTTTGTGAAGACAAGTTTCTTTTTTAAAGGGCCACCCTCATCTTCTCTCTTACCTTCGACTGGAGCAGCACTATTGGAATGGCTTTGTCAGAGCTGCTAGAATCCTACAAGCTGGGATCAAAGTTGACTGGGCAGGTGGAGGCGTAAAATGGGATATGGGCTGAGCAGCCATTAGGCCAAGATCCTCACTTTTTTCTAAGTTTATCTAAGAGCAGCAACAAAACAGAAACAAAAACAAAACAGTATTTGCTAATAAGGTCTTTTCCTTAAATGCACTGAGCTGGGTTTGAAGAAACTGGAATGGAGAATACTGGTTTTTCTGGAAGACAATCAAAACACAACTCATGAATCCCCTAAGCTTTCAACAAACTCTCTTGAAGAGTTAATCACAACGTAAAATCCACAAGTTTTTACTGGCAATGTTCGGTCATCAACTGCACAACTCTCTGAAGTGGCAACCAGTATGACTCCCAGGTCTGTCTCCATTACCCATTCCAGAGCCTGCTGGCAAGGTCTGTTTGGTGCCCTGGTCTAGCCTAGGAAATTTTTTCCAGGATCAAGTTCTCCCAGCTATCAAGTTCTCAACTTACAAGGTGCAGAATTTATTAGCACAAAGAAAGATAAAAAGAAAGCCTGAAGCCTGCTACCTTAAGTGCTTTTACACTTTATCAGAGTGTGGTGTTTCTAGGAATACAGCTGCCCAGCTCACTTGAGCGGTTGTGCTGAATCACTGGGACTTACTTTAGCTTGCCATGAACTCATGTGAGCTCTGCTGCCACCACCTATCAAGTGAGGTCTCTTGTGCTGGGCTTGTAAAGGAAGTCCCCTGCAACAACACTCATTTGGGGAGAACCAATGCCATGAGGACTTGCACCTTTAACCTACACACAGCCAGCAAAGGTGCACAGAGAACTGATATGGAATCCAGGTTTGTCCAACTCTGGAAATCAAGCCTGTCTAGTCACCCGAAGACCATCTTTTTTTAGCTTAAGGTTTTCTTCTCTCCAGGTCCTTAAGATGCCCATTTCCATCTCCAGACCCAAATGAAGCAAGTATTGGCCTCAGACCACAGGACAGACACCAAAGAGTACCTCAAGGAAGAGAGAAGACAATCAGATGTAGAACTAACTACAAAACTCTGAGAGCCCCAGCTCCTTGTACTTGTCTGACCTTGGACAAGCCACTTAATATCTTCACAGAGCCTTAGTTTCTCTTCAGCAAAATAAATATAAATAGTTCTACTTCTCTCACCAGCCTCTCTTCAGAGCAATTACGACCAAGTGCAATTACCTTGTTTATATGTTTATTTATTTTCCATTTTTCACTATGCTTCATTAGCTTATAAGCTCCAAGGGTTCAGGAACCTTGTCTGTTTGGCTCATCAGAGAGGCCCTCTGCCAGGAATAATTATCAGCATGTAGTACATGATCAGGAGGAGTGAATGAAATCTGAATGAGGAAGGGAGGGGATAAAGGCAAGAAGGGAGGACAGAGAAGAGGGAGGACAGCGTATATGGAGCATTATTGAGGTACCATATATGAAAGTGGTCTGTACGTTATTATTACAACTACAAATAACAGCTGATGCATTAATTATACTAGATCTTTTAAAAATATAAGCTAGATTGTATTGCTTCCCTGCATAAAACCCTCCAGTGGCTTTTCATACTATATACAATAAAGTCAAACTCCTGTTAACTGACAAAGCCCTATGTGATCTATGTGGCCTCATGTCCAACCAGTCTCCCCCTTCTCTGTCAGGCCCCCATCACTCTGGTGTCCTTGTGTTTTCTCAAACATGCCCAGTCCATTCCTGCCTTGGAGGCTTTATGCTAGCCCCTTCCCCTACCTGAAAGTTCCTCTTCAAAATCCGCATGGCTGGTTCCTTGTCATTGGGCTCTTGCCTTAAATGTCACCTTCTCAGAGAAGCCTTCCTGTACATGCATTCCAAAAGAGCCCATACTATCTTCTTGTTCTAGTACTCTATTATTTGTTTATTCATTTATTTATTATTAATCTCCTCCCCAGTGCCTGATGGGTCAATAAATATTTATTTTTGTATGACATTATATTTGCTTAATGCTGACACCTCATAGAGACTTTTCTAATTATTTTGTTTTATCTCTACAAGCTTATGAGCTCAAATAAACAAACTGAAAATTCCCTCTGCACTGTACATCAGCTTGCCTTCCCCCCCCCAGCCCCCAAACACACACACTTTCAGAGAGGTATCCCGGCCTGCGAACAAAAGCGACTGTGCTAATCAGTTTTAATACTTGTGATTTGACTGGAGTTATGTACAATCAGTGATATAATCATTACCGAGTACTCTAATCTAGAGGGATTCTTTGGAGACATGAAAATGGTACTGTTGGGTGCCACACTGGTCTCTGTTCTGGGTTTGGAGGCCTCCTGGCTCAGGGCAGGGGTGAGAGTGAGAGGAATACAGGGTAGAAATAGGCAGAAGGAAGTAAATGGCAGACACTCACTGATTCCACTTGGGTTTGCTTAGTGTGAACCCAAGGGCAGCACTAATTCTGTTGGAAGAGCACTGGATAGGGTGCAGGGATGGGTTCTAGAGCTGGCTCTACATCTCCCTTCCCCTCCTCCTACCTGGACTATCAGCTCCTCTGTTTTTGTTTTTTTCATTTGTTTTTCATTTATTTATTTTTGAGAGAGCTTGAGAGAGAGCGTGAGCACAAAGTGGGGAGGGGCAAAGAGAGAGGGAGACTCAGAATCCGAAGCAGGCTCCAGGCTCTGAGCTGTCAGCACTGAGCCTGACATAGGGCTTGAACTCAAGAACCTCGAGATCATGACCTGAGCCGAAGTCGGCTGCTTAACTGATTTAGCCACCCAGTGCCCCTCAGTTCCTCTGTTACCGGAGATGCGACCGGATCTCCTCAAAGGGGAACCCCAGCTCTCATAGTCTGTGAGCTAATGAGAGGAGTCTGACCTTTCTCCATGACCACGATGTCTGTGAAAAGGATAATCCATGTAATATTTCTGATGAGTGCAGCTTTCTGGACTAAGCGGGATCTCTCTGATTGGTCAATACAGGCATGAACCAAACGAAGTTCTCTGCTCCTGCCATTCTTCTTTAGCCTTCCTTTTCCCAGAGAAGCTGGTGTTCTGGGAAAATCCCCTCATTATCACATAGGGATCAACACCTAACTGTAAGTGCACTTAAGCCACTCCCAAGAGATGGGTTCATACTGCATCTGATCATGGCCAACACGCACCCATCTGCTTTCAACATGTTGCATCTGACGTTAACTAATGTCTCCTATTAGCATTAAAAGAAAACAATCTGGAAAAATTCACTCTCAAGCAGAGTTCAAACAGGCCACAAGTAGATGTGGAATCTCAACTGCACAAGGTTTGTTTAAATAATGGTAGTAAACAAATATATAAATATATAAAAATTCATATACATATATAAATGTATATATGTATATACACACATGCATATTACATAGGTGTGTATATATAGATGTGTGTAGTGAAGCAAAAAGTCTGTGAAATGGGTCAAGAGAACAAAGACATGAATGCTTTTGTCCAATTTATGAAATTAACAGGTAACAGAGGGAGGAGAAAAATTCTCCCATTGTGGAACAAGGTATAGTCAAAACAACTGAATCACATGGAAAAGGAGTTAGGAATCTTTATCTCACACTTACTGGTAATGGGTTGAAATTCTGGTCCACAAGGTGATTGTATCCATGGTCAAAAAATGAGTGTCGTATCACAACGTCAATGCCCTGATTGGCCAGCATTCCTAAAGTGTTCAACCATCTAAAAATCAGGAAAAAATGCTACATCAATACATCTTAAAAGTGCCATATAACAAGCTTTGTCGGGATTGGCTAACACACATGCATATACACCAACACCCACCATGAAATTTACCTAGTACTTTAAGGAAGATTATTTTAAGCAGTGAGTACATAGCTGGAAGACACTTTGGGGATTTTCAAACCCAGCCTCTTCATTTTATAGGAAAAGAAGCAGAGATCCAGAGGAGGAAAATGAATTGCCCTTGGTCATAGAATATTTTGTTGCTAATGACTTACTCCTATAAAGAAGTAAAATTTAAAAAAAAAATGAACTAAAATGAATACCCTAGCCACTTGTAAGCCTAATTATCATCCCCCCACCCCCTGGCCATGGGACACAATCACAGGAGCATGCACACCATACTCTCTGTCACTCAAACTCCTCTGCTTGCACCCTATCACCATACATGTACCTTTCCTGGGACTCTAACATACTCTTATGACCTATCGGTTCAAGAAGGGGTCAGCCATTTGCATCCCTCATATATCACTGTCAACAGTCAATAAAATAATAATTTTCCTTGGCACTATAATTAACCATGCAGAGATTCAAGTATGCTACCATTACACATATCACAATTAAGGACCTGCATTGTTCACACATTATCACATATTCCACTATGCCAAATACCCACTTTCCAGGGCATGCTATCCTTCAAAAGTACTTCCCTCTTGGTTCTTCCAACACCCACTGCTAACTCTGCCTTTATTATTTATTCATTCAATTTGTTCACTCATTCACTTATTCATTTAATTTTCTTCTGTATTCCAAATTCTGAAACTTAGGGAAATTTCTAATTGTAAGAATATATGTAAGATAAATGTGACTGGGAGCTTCAGTCTTCCATTGTAAAAGATAAGGCATTTCACAATCTTTCCTGAGCATGCGCATGAGCCTATAATCTGTACCTCTTCTCCCCTCTGCTCTCACCCTAAATTCCATTCCCTGACTCTAAAACTATTCTTGGCTGCCCCAAACGAGCATGCTTTGACATACTCACCTGAGTCTCCATACATGTTTTAACTTCTGCTTAGAATTCCCTTCCTCTCCTTCTCTAACCCACCTTATCTGGCAAATTTCTTCCCATCTGTTAACATGTCTCCAAGTCAAGTGCCATCTCCTTCCAAACCCTGCTGGTACAGAACAGTAGTACCTTTTTCCTCTGTACCTTCCCAGAACTCTTATTTATACCCTCTGCCTGCCCACGATAATTTCTTTCTTTCTTCTCTGCTGTCTTCCAGTTGGTTATGAGCTAACTGAGAACAGACACAATGGTTTAGCTTTGTACCCAAAACACTCATCTCAGTTCCTAGTGTAATGTGGGTGCTTCACACTCTGTTAAGTTGACATTGATCCGGACAAAATTAGATTGGAGGAACTTTGAGAATCAGCATTCAGCATACTAGGGACAAATTATGCATAGTTATGATTTCCCAAATTTGAAACCATATGGAATGCCAAACCAGTGACTTGTAGAATTAAGCTTTTTCTTTACTAGAATAAAGCACATTGCTAATTTTTATGTTATGAATGAATATTATTAGCATTTTAAAATCTGTTTCACATTGACAATTATTTTATTCTCATAAAAACTAAGAAATATTTACTGATAATTAGAGTTATAAAAACAAAACAAAGAAAAATGCAAAAACAAAAGTTTTAAATAAAAAAGAAAATCCAACAATTACATAATAGAACTGTTGTTGTTGTTGTTGTTGTTGTTGTTGTTGTTGTTGTTGTTCAGACTGGGACACTGTGACCCAGGAACTGAAATTACTTTGGGAATATCACATGGCTAAGCTATTTGCCTTTATTATTTTTATTAATTTACCAACCCCATTTGGTTTTTCCTTTAGCCATTGAGACACATATTAATGTCCTGGGGTAGAACTATCACGTGAATTCTGGACTGATGCCTCCTAAGTCAGTGCTCTTTCCACTAATGTAGCACAAATACAATAGGATTTATATCTAACAAGTATTTATCTATAAAAACAAGTATGTCTAATTCACCCTTCTATCCCTATGCTTGCTGAATGAAGAAATGAAATGATAAGTAAACACATAATCACATCTAGCCGCAGCTGGATACCAATGTATTTTGGAATTTAAAATATTCCATTTGTTCATTCATTCATTATTCATTCAACAACATTAATTAATCGGCTGTAAATGCCAGACCTTGTTCTCAGCATTGAGGATAGATACGAAAACGCTTGTGTGACCATGTAAGTCATTTGTAAAGCACTGGGTATGTAAATACCTGTATTCATTTGTATAAATGTATAAATGAACAAATGTATAAATTCCTATTTGTGACCTCTGCAGACCCTATAACAGTGATCCGCAAAAAATATATACTCAACAAATGAATGCTAACTAGTAAATCTGGCTTGTCTTTGTTGTTGATGTTGTTTTCCTAGTATGGGCAGTTTTTGAAGGAACTCTAAAGTGAGAGAGAAGAATATACATCCTCCTTTCCAAACCCATATCCTCTATGCACGTTCTGGTCTGGAGCGTTCAAAAGGACTATAGCCAGAACCTCTCCTTCCCCGTACTCTTCAGAGTGGAATGGTTTGTACTTAAGTTGTCTTCTTCTTCCTCTTGTAAATACTAAGCACTCTGACAGGGGAAATAAATGGTGTTCCAAGTCTCCCTTTCATGCACAAGTATAGAAAAGTGGCAAGATGACTGGTATATCCCACCAAGGATACTACTGCGGCCATTATTTTCCATTCCACAAAAGTTTATTGAATATCTACTGGGTGGCAGACACTACTGGGTGCTAGAGACACAGTAGTGTGCCAAGGGTATATCTGTGGTGCATCAGAGAATCACAAAGCCCTAACTGGGAAAACTACCCTTGAATACTTGGCAGCAGAGAATTCTGCTTCATGCATAAACATTCAAGTGTCCTGGCAAGCTCTCAGTTATGCCATATATGAAAAAAAGCCTGAAAGGTGCCTTTTTCCAAGGAATCTTGCTAGTCTTCTGGAGCTTCTTAGAATGCTTCAATTCCCCCCTCCCCTCAAGGAAGCAATTTACATCCCTTGGAGAACTAGACTCGAAGGACACTTGGCTGGGTGCTGCCAGCAGAGGTGAGAGCAAATGGGTGATAAAGAGGTAAGAGAGAACCAGGAGCCAAGTGAGCTAGTTTTCATTTGATTTGTGTCAACCACACACTGAATACCTGAACTACAACCTAACCCTGAACAACTCTGTTGATCTGGATTTATTGCAAAGTGACCACAGAGATCTATGGATATTTGGCTGGTGCTCAGATATCTTTCCAGTCCCCCCCTCCCCCCCCCGCCCCGAAGGGCTGTGGTGTTTCTCATTTCACATCATTCCCTAAAGGGAAGAATGCTCAGGAAAACAGTTACAACTGGGCTGCTTGCTGGCCCTGCAGCGAAGTCTGTCTACGATGGCTGCGCAAAAGCCATTCCTCTGCTGATTCTCAGAGGCCCCTCCCTGCCATACTAACTGCCACTGGCTTCTCATCCTTACCCCACGGCTCACAGTGAAACCTGGTGGGAAGCGTATTATTGAAAGAAGACTCTCAGAACCACTGTATCAAATGCTGATTCATTCCATTTCATTCATTTGAACCATGCTCACTGAACAACTGCTCTGTGCCACTCAATGGTAGGTGCTGAGAACACAAGAATCAAAGACACAAGGTATCATCATATATTTTACTGACTCATTATCTTCATCTGCATGTGCCAGGATTCCATCTGCAAAGACAATCTGCTTGACTGGCTTGATTTGTCTTTTATAAATGTATTAAAATAAGCCTTAATGGAGGGAAACTACGAGTGTATAATTAGGAACAGCTGTTAGTAGTGAAACACAAAGCTCAGGGCTTTGTGAGCTCACTTCTTAGGAGGACCTTGCTCAGACAAAAAAAAAAACCACAAAAAACCAGGGCCACAGGACTAGAATGGAACAGGAACAGGGCATTTGGTTAGTCTGTGGTCCTGAGGGGTCTGTCCCTGCCACATGATGCTGGCAGGCCAGTCAGAGCCCTTTACGCTTCTGGTGTTAAGTCGTTCAGAAAACTGCAGTAGCCTTCAAATCCACTTTCCCATCTCCTGCCTCTCCAAACTCTTGTGCATACTATTCTCAGAGCCAACATTTAAAAACACAGGTCAGATGGTATCTCTTCCTCCAAAATCTTCAATGGCTTGCCATGGAGTATAGAACAAGGCTTCATTTCCTCTGCCTGGCTTTCAAGGCCTTCCATGCTTGATGGAAAACTCCTCCCTTGTCTCAACCCTCACTACATCCCTGTAGCTACTGAGGCTTTCTTCACACGAATCATTTCCCCTCCCCTGTGCCTTTGCCGGAAATGTTCCTTCTGCTTAGCATGCTCTCCTCCACTATCACCACCATTCTCCACCTATAGAAATTAGAGTAATCTTTCTATGTCCCACTCAAATGCCACTTTGTCCATGAAGCCCTTCCTGATCTTCCCAGGGACAGAAACTACTGTTTCCTTTGCATGACTACCACTGCTTTTGAAGCAGAAAGGAAGATGGTCTAAGGTAGTGGCAAAGAGGCTTGACTCTGAAGCAGATTGCCTGGGCTTGAGTCAAAGCTCTCACATCTATCTTTTTGGATTGTTGTAAAATAATAGTAACTGTATCACTGGTTGTTAAATTATTAGATATAGAAAGAGCACTTCAGAAAGCATGTAACACATATAGTTAAAATTATTATTATTTATCATTATTATGGCACTAATCTCCCACACCTTTTCTTAGCTCCTCTTTCTGTTCCTCCGATCTTACTCTTACCTATTTCCTAGGACTATGGTGAAAAATGGATGAGAAATTGTATGTTGTCTGCACTGTGTTTTGAACTATAGACATTAAATAAAGGTCATATGACTATTATGGTCACTACTACTGCTACTGTTACTACTATCTTTGCTCTGATGCCTGTGCTTGACGTCTTAGGATCCAGGGAAGTCACTTATCACTGTTTGTTGAATGGGTTAAACTCATTCACAAAGGAACAGATAAAGAACTTTCAATAGGAAATGAACCTCCCCCTCCAATAGGCAGAATAACACACTTTCTTTCCTCAAAGTCCCTGGGAATGAAATTGCATGTGTTACTCACAAGAATCCTGCAGCATAGGAATCTGATAGATTGTTTGTGCCTCCAGCTGAGGTGGTCACCACACCTTCAAGCCAAATCTTCTTTCCTGGGGTGTATGTATTAACCACCTGTTCACATAACAGAAGCAGAAGGGGATATGAGATTTTTAAAAGTTACTCCCAAGTGAGAAGGAACACACATTCCCTTAAGGGAGTTCTGTTGATACCTTGCTCCCAGATGGTCATGATCTGTGCTTTTTTCATGATGACTCACCCCATGCAATGAGCTGACGCACGTGCATGCGTGCACGCGCGTGCGCGCGCGCACACACACACACACACACACACACACACACATTAACACTGACACATGTCCACTCAAAGAAATGATCATTTTTTTCCTAAGTAAACCCAAGTGAAAATGTGACAGTAGGACAAGTGCATTTTCTAGGACACAAGTTGAATGCAACACCAGTCACTGGAAAGTATAAATCATATGATATCTCTCTATTAACAAGTATTGAGAAGGAAATTTTCTTTTTTTTAAGTTTTTTTTTCATGTTTATTCATTTTTGAGAGAGAGACAGACAGAGCATGAGTGGGAGAGGGGCAGAGAGAGAGACACAGAATCTGAAGCAGGTTACAGGCTCTGAGCTGTCAGCAGAGAGTCAGATGTGGGGCTTGAATCCACAAACCGTGAGATCATGACCTGAGCAGAAGTTGGACGCTTAACCGACTGAGCTACCCAGGTGCCCCTTGAAGGAAATTTTCTTAATACTCTTGTATGGCACATGCCAGGATGAGTCTACTATCCATGCATTAGAAGTCATGAATCATGAAGGCAGAGGTCAATGTTTGTGAGAAGTATTTTATAATCACCAAGGCACGTATATATATTACAACCATATTTTGGAGAATAACTGCAGTGAATGTAAAAAAAAAATCACTGATCCAGGGGTGAAAGATCCTACCTAGGGAACTTTCTAAGCAGAAGAACAGCATCTTGTTAAAAGGTGGCCCTCTGAAGTTTTAAAATGGCCCAGTCTCTGGTCCACAAGTTGGAAGCTGGCCATACTACCCAGATTAAGGCCCAGATCCCCTAGATAGCAATCTGGCAGTATTTAGGGATCATGTACTTTGGGTGCCCCTAAAAACAGAGGCTGAGACAAAGGCTTATCTATAGGTAATTCATTGGGGGAAGTCATAACAGGGAACAGGAATGAGGAACTGCAGGGCTGAATTAGGGAAAAGGGAAAACCAATACCAGGATGGGTTTCCAAACTGGCAACCAGTGTTGGCAACTTACACTCAATTCCACAGGGAACTTGGTAAGAGTCTTAAGAACTATATGTCTCAGAACTTTCTCCCAAGGGAATTCAAGAGGAAGCAAACTTATCCTTTGGCTCCTATCCTCCAAAAGGTCAAGAGTAGCCTTGGGACTGTAACCTCTGCTCTTCCCCATTACCCCATTTAATTGTGTAGGCATAAGTGTTGAGCAGGTTCCCTGAGTTCTGCATCTCTGTCTTAGAGAAGTCCCAGAGCAGGAAATAAGAAGCAAGGTTGTACCGTATCACGACAGCACTAAGCTGGTTACAGCTGTGGATCTGCCCAGCTCACGTCCCTGCAGCAATAGTTAGTATAGGAGGTAGGATGGGGATGCCATTTATGCACAAGGGGGGCTGGATAAAGACAACAGTGTATTTAGATCCAATGGGCCACCAATTTTTCTTTTAGACATGCAAACCAAAGGAATTCTTCCTCAGGCCTCTAAGGAGTCAAGTACGAGGATGTTTACTATGTCATTGTTTGACACAGGTTTCCATTGCAGGAGGAATGGAAAAGTAAAAGATGGTAGATACATACCATAAGACATTATGCAGCAGTTAGAACAATAGATTCAATGTAAATCTAGCAACGTAAATTAGCTTTAAAGATTTAGTGGTGAGTTAACAAAATACCAACGGAATGAAATTTAGGTCACAATATTACTTATGTACTCAGTTACATCCAATAAGATGAAATAGTTTATAAAGATACATGTCTCTTAAGGACCTGTATCAAACACAGAAGGAAGGCATGTTTAAGAGGGAGGTGAATGTGAGCACAGATTAGAGATCGAGGTGAAAATCAAAACAAATGCAAGGCTTTTGCATGAACTGATGATAATAGTTTGCTGTGGTTGAGGAGCATGATGATTTTAATTTAATTCCCTTTACCTCAGATCCGAAAAAAGAAAAAAAATAATATGAGACATAGCATAAATGCCAGAACTTTCCTTTTCCAAAACCCATAGGCAGACATCAGCAAACAATCATATTCCTCCTGTCATCTCTCCCTAGGCATAACGCTTGTCCTCTCCCCTCATCTACTAGAGTATTTGCATTATTTGAGACCTACTTTAGAATAAGAGTTGGCAAAGTGCTTGAACTTTTCAGGAATAAAGTTGTAAAAATTTTTCACCAATTTGATGTAGAAGTAAAGATTGTGGGGCGCCTGGGTTGGTTAAGCCTCCAACTTCGGCTCAGGTAGTGATCTCATGGTCTGTCTGTGAGTTTGAGCCCCGCATCAGGCTGTGTGCTGACAGCTCAGAGCCTGGAGCTTGCTTCGGATTCTATGTCTCTGCCCCCTCTCTCTCCCCCTCCCTGGCTTATGCTCTGTCTCTCTCTGTCTTTCAAAAATAAATAAATGTTAAAATTTTTTTTTAAAAAAAGAAGTAAGGATTGTGATCAAAAATGAAAGAAAGATCCTGAGAATTAATAGTGGAGGTCAAATTGGAGGGTTATTAAAAATTGAGTAAGAATTCCCCCTTGTACCCAGAAAGACAAGTGTCACTGAGGACACCACAAGGTAGTTCTCTCTCCCTTCTCGATACTGCTCACCATGCCCAACCCAAAGAGAACTGGAAATAGTATAAATAAGAAAACAAGAAATATACCTTAGATGATCAAAAGACAGAGCCATATGGTGAAATTGGACTGCATTGATGGTTCCCCTCAAAACATATTGCTACAAAAACTGTGTTCTTGATAAACTTTGTGCTTCCTTTACAGCTAACAAGAGCTAACAAATATATTTGTATTTTTCTTTGTTGCCTTTGGCTTCCAAGATATTCAGAGTTTAATTTTTGTTCAAAGATAGATATTAAGGGGCACCTGGGTGGCTCAGGTGGTTAAGCATCCAACTCGTGATTTTGGCTCAGGTCATGATCTCATGGTTGATGAGATCGAGCCCCACATTGGGCTCTGTACTCTGATAGCATGGAGTCTGTTTGGGATTCTCTCTCTCTCCCTCTCCCTCTATCCCTCCCCTACCTGCTCTCTCTCTCTCTCTCAAAATAAATAAACATTAAAAAAATAAACATATAAAAAAAGACATTAAAATAAGGCAGTTAGAGAAAAGGGATTAAACAAAACAAAAAAGTAAAACTACAACATGATGAACTTAATTTTTTTTTTTTTTTAGAGAGAGAGCTAGAGCATGAACAAAGGAAAGGGGCAGAGGGAGAGAGAGACAGAGAGACAGAGAGAGAGAGAGAGAGAGAGAGAGAGAGAAAGAGAGAGAGAATCTTAAGCAGCCTCCATGCTCAGCACAGAGCCTGATTCGGGGCTCAATCTCATGATCCTGGGATCATGACCTGAGCTGAAATGAAGAGTCAGATGCTCAACTGACTGAGCCACCCAGGTGTCCCAACATAATGAACCTTGAAATAATTAAGCTGAGTGAAAGAAGCCAGACACAAAAGGCCACTTAGTGTCTGATTCTGCTACACGAAATGTCCAAAATAGGTTAGTCTGTAGAGACAGAAAGTAGATTAGTTGTTTCCTAGGGCTGGAGAATGGAGGGAGAAATGGAGAGGGGGTAATGACTACAAATAGATATGTGGTTTCTTTAGGGGGTGATGAACATGTTCTAAAATTAAATAGATGGTTTCACAATTCTGTGAATACCTTAAGAACTACAGAATTGCACACTTCTAAAGGGTATGCACAATTTCATGGCATGTGAATTTTATCTCAATAAAATAAAACTCTGTGTGTGTGTGTGTGTGTGTGCACGCGCGTGTGTGTGTGTGTGTGTGTGTGTGTGTGTGTGTGTGTGTGTGTTGGTGTCATTAGCAAAAGGAGAGATAGAGTCTAACAGGCAGATAACTACTGTGGAAACAGTAAAGTACCCTGGAAGTTCTGGGTTCTACTACCCACTAGCTGTGAGATTTTTGGCTTATTATTATCTTGAACTTTCTTCATCGACATGTAAGCCATGAATTCGGAGTAGATGAAATCTAAGTTCCTTCTAAATACAAAATGTTAAAATGTATTAGTATTTTATAATATTATTGCCAGTTCCCTTGGCTCCTATCCCTCAACAGTCAAGAGTATCTTTGATTATGTAAGTGAAAATTACATAAACAACAAATATGGGAGACAGAGCGGTAGAAAAAGCCACCAGAGTGGATGAAATTACCTAAGGGAAATATCTAAAAGTGGGACTAGAAAAGGGCTAAGGGTTTCCATCCCAAAACACTAAGGCATTACCAAATACATTTATTCATTCACTCTAACCAATACTTATTGAGCACCTTCTATATGCCAAACAGATTCTAGGGGCAGGAATACAGCAATAAGTGAAACAGGACAAGGCTCTGTTCTCTTTGGCTTACATTTTAGTCAAGGGGAAAAGACTAACAATGAATGAGTAAATAAAAAAAAGAAATTTAGAAATAATAAGAGCTAGGAAGAAAATTAAAGAGAGTAATCTGATAGAAAGTAACTTGGCAGGAGGTGTGGGGCGGCGGGGGCGGGGGGCGGTGGACACTTTAGATAGTACTCAGGTCACCTCCCTGGAAAGATGGTATCTGAGCTTAGACCTGAGTGACAAGGGAACCAGCCCCTTCATGGATCGGTAGGAGCAGCACAGGAAAAGGACAAGATATGGAAATAGGACTGCTGTTTGTAGAACCAAGAGAAGACCATCTGGAGTATAGTGAGTAGGGGAATGTGGAATATGTGGCATTTGAGAAACAAAACAAGCAAAGGATAAAAAAGAGAGAGAGTGACAAAACAAAAAACAGACTCTTAACTATAGAGAATAAACTGATGGTTACTGGCAGGGGTGGGGAATAGGGGAAATAG